GTCAGTCGCCAAGGAAAGGCTCATGATTCTGACGCTGACGCAGCAATTTTGCCGTAGTGTGACCGAGGCCTTAGAGGTGGGCAAAGGTAAAAAAAAGGCTTAAGCATGATGCAGACTGAGAAATATGACAAATAAACGTAAACGTAAGAAACTGATGAATGTATCGACATTCAAGGTGTGCTATTTGAAGACAAGCAAGAAGGGGTGCAACAGCAGCATGGCATAAAGCATGAACCTACACCCCGCAGGTAACTCCTGCAGCTCTACGTAACAGAGTAAACAATCTCTCCCTGGACTGTGCTGATAGGTGAGATGCGGAAACAGAGAAACAATACTCAAAGTCGGGCTGAATCACACTAAGCAGGTACTGGCGACGGGCAAATGCTGCCCTTTGGCGGAAGGTGCGTCGCAACACGCCTATCTTGCGTGACACCTTGCTGGCGAGGTAATCTACGTGTGGAACAAATGAGAGCTTGTTATCGATAAGGATACCAAGGCAACGAGTTTCACTCACTCCCCTTTTAAAAGGTAGTACCACCCAGCTCAACCAGAACTGGTCTTTGTACGTCAGGAGCATTTTTCGGCAAGATCCTCATGACCACGGTTTTGTCAACATTAACGCTCATGCCCAGTGATCTTAGCTCACTGTGTAGCTTAGCGACAGCCGAGGAGACAACATCGGTGCAGACTATTGGATCTCGTGAGGGCGCGTACAAAGTCTTGTCATCGGCAAACATGAGCAGCTTTATTTGAATTTGCTGAACCAAACTGACAGAACTGCCCTGTGACAGGGGAGCGAATGATGAGCGTCAGATCAATATTCATCTAAACACTTTAGGGCAAAATGAGACTTCGAAGAGGACTCTAGGAGACAGGCACGCAGAACATGTTGCATGTACATGTATGACAAATATCCCAGTGTATCACCTTGGATATCACCTTGTATACCACCTTGGATGCGGATATAACCTTCAATACTGTGACCAACCTAATGACTGCGTACACACCAGCCCAATTCGAGGGGGAAGTATCGCTGCCGCTTGTCCCTTCCGTTCCAAAACGTCTTCTGCCACCATTTTAAGCCCATTAGGTACCACGATAGGTGCGCTATTGGCGCTGAAGGTCTTTCAGAAAACCCATCAAATTTGAATCATCTAGTCACCGACTTTTGAATGTCAGGCTGTGTTTCAAGCATACCCGTATGTTGTCAACTTTAATGTATGAGAAAACCAGGCAATATGTGCAAAGTCCATCTCTCCGACATCGCTCAAATGTTTACAGGTAGGTTTCCTTTGGGGAGTAGGTCGACTGTGTAAAGCCCTTGAAAAAGGTTTTGAAGGGTACCTTGAAGTTGGCATGCCCCTAAAAATGGTCGAGAATCAAATGATTTATGGATCTACCAACGAGCCACGCCACTAAAACTCCGTCAAGTCAACATTGCCTCACCTTAGAAGAGTTCATGTGGCAGCACCGCTTAGGCACGCCATCATCCCAGAAGACGAGGGCCATCACCCCCTGACGCTACAAATGTTTTTGAATGATCATCTTGAAAATAGTCTAATTAAAAGCGCTGATAAAACTGCGAGCCACGTCCTCGATTAGCAAGAACTATACACAGGCAGATACATGTAAATGTAGTAGAACAAATCTTATATAAGTTTTAGCACTGAGGACATGTCCCCATCCTCCTTCTTTGGTTTTCTTACAAGTTTTCTAATCCACCATGCGGAAATACGTCCAAACGCATACATGTACATGTACGTCCACAGGAAAGCTAGCACCTCCGCGACGATAGTCAGCAATTGTTTTTATTGCAATCGCCACAAGTGGTCATTGGCTGCCCCAGCCATGTATTGCTTGGAATAAAATAAATAAATAAACTTCTACTCCAACACTACTCCCAACGATGCAGAAAAAAATGTATGATAGACTCTTACAAGGGAAAGCAGCGGTGATTACTTGTCACTCCAAACGACAAGCTTCTTCTTGCACCACCAACATTATTTTTTTCGGTGGGACAGGTGATGCAAAAGTGACTGAAGTTTTGCGGGCAGTTTTTGAATTTTTCGGCAAGGAATCGGTGAAATCACCGGTAGTTCGGTTTAATTTTAACTTTTTTCAAGCAAGCCGAACTACTGGTGATATCAATGAAAGTAAAGCGAGCGCACTCATACCACGAGAACAATGGAACAATATTTTAAGATTTGAATGTCGTTTTCATGTGATAATCATCAAGACAATAGTGCTAGCTTTAGAATATTAGTGGTTTTCTTTCTTTTTCTACTATGTTCACATACCAAACTCGTAAAAAATAATGAAAGACAATGGTACTGAGACAAGGTCAAAAGAGACAACTACTGATTGGGGGCTGCACCAAGGCGCAGCAGTGATGGTGGGGCATTGATGGCTCTGCCGACCTGCGGTCTGGGAATCACGGCCAGAAACACGCACCAAAAAAACAAAAGATAGAGCTGTAAGGGCCAGCAATATAAAAAGAAAGAAAGGGTTCACATCAGCTAGTGTGCGGCGCAGCATCGTATTCGTAGAAATGGGAGTCGTTGATGGGGCATTATAATGTAGGTTCTTGTATTAGTTTTAGATCTAATAATGTCGACTTTATGGTACCATAATTATCTTTCCTTTGTAGTCCAACACTCAGTGTAATGACGATTTCTGATGATTATCACATGAAAACGACGTTCAAATCTTAAAATATTGTTCCATTGTTCTCGTGGTATGATAGCGCTCACTTTACTTTCATCGATGTTAGGCTGCTTGTCTCCACGCCGACTTTTTCAGCTACCGGTGATTTCACCGTTCTTTAAAAAGCTCGTAGCAGTACTGATGTTGCCTATGGCTATGTAGCCGAAATAGTTTTGGTGTTTGGGTCCAATCTACATTGTATATATATATACTAGCGTAGCCAGTACTGCCGGCCAATACTGGCTATACCATCCTTTAAACCATCAGATAACATTTTAAATGTTGTCTGATGATTGCACTGTAATGAACAAGAAACTCAGAGTTCCAACAAACTAGCCCTGTTGCACTGCTGTACCGTGCACTATAATAATACTTTAAAAGTAATAATAATGATAATTTATACAAAAGAGAAAGACCAAGGAACTACAAGTTACGCAATACTATACTATCCACTAACACCACCATGAAGTTGATTGTTCCAACTAGGAACACACGCTTCTTGCCGAACTTGACACTTGACTGACTCACGACTGCCATCCGGAGCACACGAGGAGCACGTCGCACCTTCCACTCGGCAAACCTGCAAGAAAGCACCACTCCCTGCTCAATACACGGTGTTTCGGGGAATTCACCCCTCATCAGTTGAGCTTGAGTAGGCTGAGGAAGATTGTGCCTGAAAAGCACCACTTATATACTGCTCTCCAGGCCAAACCATCACCAGGGATACAAACTTACAGAGACGCTTTGTTTCCAGCGCGACAAACACCTCGTGAAGCTCCAGGTAGCAGCGTGAGTCAGAGTCGCTCATGGAGTTGTGATAAACAGACGTTGAGAGCCAGTATAGCTATTCGCAACGCTGTCACCTCCAACAACTAGTCGCACGTCCGCGTGAGGGACAACAATACGAACTTAGAAGTTGCGACTTCGGCGGTAATAGTCATGAAGTTGATTGTTCCAACTAGGAACACACGCTTCTTGCCGACCTTGACACTTGACTGACTCACGACTGCCATCCGGAGCACACGAGGAGCACGTCGCACCTTCCACTCGGCAAACCTGCAAGAAAGCACCACTCCCTGCTCAATACACGGTGTTTCGGGGAATTCACCCCTCATCAGTTGAGCTTGAGTAGGCTGAGGAAGATTGTGCCTGAAAAGCACCACTTATATACTGCTCTCCAGGCCAAACCATCACCAGGGATACAAACTTACAGAGACGCTTTGTTTCCAGCGCGACAAACACCTCGTGAAGCTCCAGGTAGCAGCGTGAGTCAGAGTCGCTCATGGAGTTGTGATAAACAGACGTTGAGAGCCAGTATAGCTATTCGCAACGCTGTCACCTCCAACAACTAGTCGCACGTCCGCGTGAGGGACAACAATACGAACTTAGAAGTTGCGACTTCGGCGGTAATAGTCATGAAGTTGATTGTTCCAACTAGGAACACACGCTTCTTGCCGAACTTGACACTTGACTGACTCACGACTGCCATCCACCAGTTACTAAATAATCAGCTCATGCGATAACATTGCACGACACTGACCGACGGTACTGTCGTTCTACAACTAACTGGCTACTTATGACAGCTCTAGCACATCTTGGAGGCGCACTCCCACAGTCTTCCAACTTGGAAGGTTCTAAGTTATAGAAATAACGAGGGAAGGTGAGCGCAACCAAGATAAGCACGAGCTGAAAGTCTCAGCTGTGAAGGACGTTGGCGGATGTTCATGCATTTCGATGACGATACTGGCAAGACCATTGGACAATCCGGTGATACCTTAGAACCTTCCAAGTTGGAAGGCTGTTGGAGTGCGCATCCAAGATGTGCTACAGCTGTTAGCCAGTTAGTTGTAGAACAACAGTACCGTCGGTCAGTGTCGTGCAATGTTATCGCATGAGCTGATTGTTTAGTAACTGGTGGTGTTAGTGGATAGTATAGTATAGCGTAACTTGTAGTTCCTTGGTCTTTCTCTTTTGTATAAATTATCATTATTATTGCTGTTAAAGTATTTTAACAGTGCACGGTACAGCAGTGGTTCTCTTTTGTACAAATTAAACCTTGGCTGTCCATCCGAGTCCAATAATGGTAATAGTTATAGTTCGCATGTCACTCATGGAAGGGGATCCATGGGCTTAACGCATTTGTCAATGAAATCCAGGCAGAAGAGCCAACAAAAGGCATCTCACTATTGTTAGAACCTATCGCAGTAAGAACAACTACGCAAACGCAGCACATTTTTCCACAAGTACCAGCTATTTTCTTCTTTTCTAGAGCCAGTTCAAAACACCGTGCACTATGATCGAGTACAAATGCATTTTAAAACAATTACGTAGGAAAGGCGCTGAAGTCAACAATGAATGAAATTACTGAGAAGGAAAAGGAGGCGAACTAAAAAAATATCGCACATTCCGTGGGTTATGAAAGTTTATAAAGTGAACGTGAAGATGTACATGTACATGTAAGTAGTTTAAACATAAGTGAAACGTGCATGTGCAACATCGTGTACCTCTTTCTGAATACATAGATCCTGGCTACATAAGCGAATGAATATACATGTGACTTCTTGGACACGAAGCCAACAGACCCTACTATCACAATGCTACCCTCCAAAATCTCTTCACGGAGCCAGTGACAGAAAGAACTAAAACTCTAATGGAGCCGGAATGTGATATTGGTAAGCCAATGAAAACTTGAAATGGTTAATGTCGCTCTAGAATACACCAGGAGAGTAGATTTGAGCTTTAGAGCTGCTTTCGTAGCTTCATTTCCACGAACCTCAAAATCGAGTAATTGTTTCCGGGATATTTGTACACTATACCACGTGGTAATCCATCGTGAAGTCCATACTCTCCATTGAGGTTTGCATCATAACACCGGTTGTACCACCATCCACCTTTGTAGGAATTGGAACAGTCCCCTGTCAATTTGTCATGATCACGAGCCCGAGTGCTGAACTGTTGTTCATTGTGGCGTCTCATTCTGTCCACCAAGGTAGGGCTTGAGAATCCTGAAACGTGTAGTCTGTAATTGTTAGCTTCACCTTCAACACGGAATGCTGACCACTTGGCATAATGCTTCTCTCCAGTTGTCTTGAACACCATATCAATACGCAGCTCATATGTACTACCCGCTTGTGATGTCATATAGTGTAGTGTATCTAGACCCAGCCAGAACTCTCCAGCCGCTGATCCGAATCCTAGTTTGTATGCATTCCAGTCACGGTAGAAGTCCACTGAGCCATCTTGTCTTCTTTGAAACACAGTCCAGCCACCTCCATCAGTCTCTTGATCACAGTATGCAGTGAATATTGCCGTGGGTGTTCCGCTATTGAATAGACCTGACCGCCCCTGGCTTGTCCTCCGACAGGAAAAGGATACTGCAGAGCAAAGAATCGAGAAATGAAGAACGATCAGATCTTTCAAAAACGTACAAGGTGAACGAGTAGATACAACTATGCAACTGTAGTTGTAGTGTGCAGTTATCTGCTCAAATTACAGCAGCCATTGAGTACCGACTAGACACAGGTGGATAGGTGCGCAAATCTCCAGTATTTGCGATACCCAATTACAGAACAGAGCAACAAACATAATCAAGGCTATTTTGCTGCTACTTCAAGTTTCAGGCTCTCGCAATCATCAGGCAACACCAAACCCAATAATAATTGCATACTCGCGTACACCTTCGAAAATTTAATGGTAATACTGCCCTGGCGTTGCTGGTGACAGTTGTACTATCAAGATCCACGCACACCACGCAAACACCAGGAATAGTAATAACGCCCGATCTAAACTCTGATGAACACTTTCTGCATGTATTTAGAAAATATAGCCCACGCGTTGCCCTACTGTACCACATGTACATGGGTCACCGACTACCACCCGACTACATCAGCCTGCTCTTCAAATCCTACGTACGACCAGTTATAGAGCATGGAGTTCAAATATGGGGCTTCAGGCTGGCTGCAGGGAAATTGTCTATGCCAGATGTCCTTCAAGCAAGAATTTGTAGACCCATGCTCAATGTTAACAAATTGTGCCTAATGCAGTCTATGCAATACCTCAGACAGATCCTTCTCCATGGACCCTTTTGGCCGACACATGTCTTGCATTATTGAACAACCCAATGGTACCGTTCACAACTTACTACTCAACTGTTCTACATCGCTATATCTAAAGGTGGTGGCGCCCATATTAGTGTTCAACAATCGTGGAAAATACCCCTCATTACTATTTCTGTACCGAATTGGCGCCCTTTGCTCTTACTACATCTATTCAGATTTATTATTATTATTATTATTATTGATGTGTTGAAGCTAGGTGTCAGGACGTCGAATGTTTCAGTACTCTGTCAGTTTTGTGCCTAGTTATTGCACTTTCTGACTGTATATAGTATCATGTTACAGTGATGGAGAGTTACTCTTAACTCGTATCCATATGTCCTTTTCTCTTCCACATTATTATTATTATTATTATTAAAAAAGAGAAGAAACACATGAGAACGAGTTACGCAGCAACTATCCACGACTGTAACAAGATGATAAACGGTCAGAAAATGCGATAATAGGGCACAAAACTGCATAACTCATTGTCATGTGTTTCTTCTCTTTTTACATTGTATTACTGGCCTAGTATCCGAGTTTAAATTATAATTATTATTATTTTTCTGGACACACAAATTCGGCTTATGAATGCGCTGACAAACAGCTTCCAAAACTTGTAACTGCAAAAGATCAGAATAAGTACAACAACAGTCAGTACTAGAAACCAAATGATTGTATACTGAAGACTTGTTATTACGAGACGGACGCACACAATCTCGACTCATGCGCACACCCTCACTTATTATTATTTTTTTAAGGGGTCTGAAGCGGATAATACTTAAAAAACTTACCTTCGTTTTTTAGTTGATAAATATGGTGGTAAAGACACACCTGGCAGTATGGCGGTAAACACACGCCTGCCCACACACGCTATCTAGGCTGCAAAGTTAGTTCTGGCACAGAGCTCTCCTTCCCACCACCACCACCATCAGTTCGCGCCTGGCGCGTGGTCGATACATGGCTGGCGGTATCCGGCATAGCAGGCTGGTACATCAAGTAGCGCATGGCACATAGATGATGACACAGCAACGACATAGCTCGATTGCGACGTACGTTTCGTCCCCGCTGGACTCATCAGGCAATCTTCTTCTTGGATGTCTTCATACGGAGCTTGACTCGGGAGAATGAAGTTGAAGACACCACTGCAGCTGTACTTATGGTTGATAAATATGGTGGTAAAGACACACCTGGCAGTACGGCGGTAAACACACGCCTGCCCACACACGCTCTCTAGGCTGCAAAGTTCTGGCACAGAGCTCTCCTTCTCACCACCACCACCATCAGTTCGCGCCTGGCGCCTGGTCGATGCATGGCTGGCAGTATCCGGCATAGCAGGCTGGTACATCAAGTAGCGCATGGCACATAGATGATGACACAGCAACGACATAGCTCAATTGCGACGTAGATCTACGTTTCGTCCCCGCTGGACTCATCAGGCAATCTTCTTCTTGGATGTCTTCATACGGAGCTTGACTCGACGAGGCGCCAGGCGCGAACTGAATCGATGGTGAGAAGGAGAGCTCTGTGCCAGAACGTTGCAGCCTAGAGAGCGTGTGTGGGCAGGCGTATGTTTACCGCCATACTGCCAGGTGTGTCTTTACCACAATATTTTATCAACCATAAGTACAGCTGCAGTGGTGTCTTCAACTTCATTCTCCTTCGTTTTTTAAGTATTATTATTATTACATGCCTGTTCGCGCTGACATCATATCACCAACCAAGCTGGGCTAGTCTTCGCATAAACCAAATGAACAAAAAATGGAACGAACGAGGCCAATGTGATGAACACACGCGTACAACTGCAAAATAGGCAAAAGGACTATACTTGAGTTATGCATTCACTATTCCGACATCGAATTATTACTTCGTATCAGCTTCCGTTTTATGCATTATTAGCAAACCTTATTATAGTCACCGTACCTTCTTGATTCTCTTGCAGTTGGTCTAGACGTTCACTCTACAACAAACACCACAAAGAGCGACCAGAGCGCAGAGATGAAATCACGATTACTGTAGACTGTATTGATTAGTAGAATATTAATCATAGACAACTGTATGGCAATTCAGATTAAAAAATGGTTTGGATAGATCATGCCATTGGGTTCCCCCTGCACTGTTGTGTGCTTGACGTTTGTGGATCTAGTGAGGGGTGCGTAACACCAACCTGCTTGATTTCACAGGTGGCGTGAGTTTCGAAGTGTGAGGAAATGTTGAATAGTCTATACAGTAGTTAGTGCGGGGCGGGTTCTGGTGCACTTTTGACCTTTGACCTTTGGGCCAAATAAGGCACACTGTGTCGGTCGTGCTTGGTCTGGCCCCGGGACCCCCCAGAGTTTGACCTTTGACCCCTGGCATGCCATAAATGTGCCATAAAGGTTCTTTTCCGTGGCGAACGTGCACTTGTGCACGTTCGGTGCATTCGCACCGGGGAGTAGTAAAATACGTACTATTCCCTGATTTGCACATCGTAGATGTGCATTGGATGCAGTGCATACGCACGCGGAGCGTGTGACCTTCAGAGACCCTGCTTGCGGGAAAGACGCAGTGCAACACAAGGTGTACTAGTACACGTGTCATTATACTACTCCCTGATTCGCACTTCGTAGATGTGCAGCAAACAAGTTAGTTCACGTGCCATGCACTCGTTTTATTCGCACATCGTAGATGTGCACTGACAAGTTGCCCATACAGAGCATGCCTAATCGGCTTTTCGATCGAGAATGTTCAAATTCAGCCATATTATGAGCTCCAAGATCAGAATTCGGCTCAATATAGTACTTGAAGTCACCGTTCCCATTACGTCATGTACATTTACATACACCCTGTTGAAGCACTGAAGCATCGGTTTTCGGCGAATTCAACATGCGAATTTTTGAAAATTCGGCGAAAAGATGGGTAATTTCTTCAAAACCACTGTTTCGGCGAATTTTTCGCCCGGCCGATTAGGGAAATGCCTACTGTCCATGCAGGCCCATTAGATGCATATTTCTATTTTGATCGGGATACAGTTAGAATCAACCGGCTACGCCCGGAGTATCATGCATCAAAACAATTATTGAAGGGGTGTCACAGTGAAGCAGTGTTGCTACGCACCGCAAATCCCCTCTGCACTGAACCGAATCTATGCTGGAGAATCCAGAGTGACCAGCAAAGAGTCACAACCCGCAGGTATCCAGTCACACTAAGGCATATCCACCATTCCCCACATATTCACTGTAACAAAACACAATACTGTTTACTATAATGCACTTTTATTTCAATGGACTTGGATGAGTCTGTAGAAGAGAACACAATGCACGCACACGCACGCATGCGCGGACACACACACACACACACACACGCGCGCACACACATCTAGGTTATAGTGCTGTACACATATCTAGGGTTTAGGAAGCACGAGAATGTGTCGAAGCACCCACACATACCCCTTCATGCAGTGTACTTCAGTAGCCCAACACATTACGACCGCTCAGGACCATCACAAAACACATTACGACTGCTATAGCACAGGACCATCACAAAACAATACACACTGTTACTACACTGCACACACAGTTACTACACTACGCCTGTTACAAGTACTTACAAATAATTTTGAAACAAATGGCACATCCCGAAGACGGCAGCTCCAGACCTTCATACATCATCATCTGTGAAACCAAGCATGAGCGCACACAAACACTATTAGTGTCACGAATACGGAAATAGGGTAAGACAAGAGGATACGGAACAAGTAAATATCGCTATAACGAGGGGGTAAGTATACATGTAAACAGAGCAGTGCTTACTTACAGGGTCCTAATACGCTCCACGGCGTCCCGGTAGTCGGACTGCAACAGCAGCCCGACCTGCCGGCCCTCCTAGTAACGGGTTAGATGGGCCGTACCCGTGAGGTGGGCGACCACGGCTGGGCCTCCCACCAGCCTTTCTCCACTGTAAACACGAAAGAAACCGCAGAAAGCAGAGTGTCATAGAGCTCTTTTGTTGGGGGAGAGAGCTAGGAGCACTGCACACTTACCAAGTATCACAATATATGATAAGAAAGAGGCGGCGCTTGACGCACCGCCTCAGGTGCTGAAACAGGGGTATTACCCCTGTAAGGCGAACACCGCAGTGACACGTGAACGTCATTTCTACAGACTGTTTTCAGGATAATGATACTGAAGTGAAGGTGTGAACCGCAAAGCAAGACCTTTACCTTCTTCCTGTCGAATTCGCTCCCCAGCTGCATACCGACATCATCCGCTAAAATCCAATCATACCAAGTAACGCAAGGGTCATCAGTTGACCTTTTGGACTTTTCAACTCTTATCCAAAACCACCAAGAGGAAAAAACCAGGATGAAGAAGACGTCAGTAATAGAAAGGCGGACGCCAATAAGAACAGTTGTGGAGTTGGCAGATCAAAACGCGCAGCAAGAAATTTGGCACGTCGATGGTAGACTCCATCGGGAGGACGGACCAGCTCTTGTTGATAGTAGGGGAGTGTCCGCCTGGTGCTATGGAGGTCGCCTTCATCGCGTCAATGAATCGGCTTGGATAGGACGGTGTAAAAGTTTTACACCTACTTTCACCACTCACACCTTATCACCTTGTGACACACCTACTCTCATATACATAACCAGTATATTGAGTAATAAAAGCTCTCTTCTTCCTTTGCTCAATGAAGAACTATTACATTGGTAGCAGAGGATGGTTCTCCATCCCCTGTGGTCGTTCGTGGGCCTAGTTCTGGCCTCGGCCATCAGCTCTATCGTCGTCAGTATCTGGATTGTCAACCGTCTCCGGAAGGAAGCTCTACCCTCTACTCAGTCGTCACCCCAGTGTGTTCCTGAGTCTCGTGCTTCAGCTTCCCAGCCTGCACCGCGTGATCGCCCACACGTCAAGGAGCCGCCCGTGTTCACCGGAGATCCCACCACGTTTCGGGAATGGGCATTTGCCGTCGAGGTGGCCTTGGCTTCGTGGCGCTTCGCGGATCCT